AAGTATAATCGCTCCCTCTCTATAAGTGAGATTATATATATAAAATAATATTTATTACTTAAGATTAAAGTAATTATTATCTATTTCTTATAATTTAATATTATAATAATTAATATTAAATAATATCTTTAAATTAGATTATTCGCGTATTATATATTAATATTATATTTAAAGTATTTTTTAATTATTAAATATATTTTATTAATAAATAGTATATCGCGAGAGTATAAAAAGTTATTTTCGATTATTAAATCTAAGATATAGTAATAGACCTAGACTTTAACTTCTTTTTCTATAATAATTAATATTATTCTTAGAATTACTATATTTAATCTACTATACGCGTATTATATATTTTATTAAAGATTTTTAATTATAATATAGATTAATTAAGTATATTAATCTCTATATATTTAAAAGAGATAAGTTTTATTTAATATTAAAATAATAAAAATAATAATAGAGTTATTAGATAGCTTATTCTATATTTTTTATTATTAATTTATAATATATATCTTACTATAGATTCTCGCTTTATTAGCGTTTTTTTAATATATAAATTAATAATATAAATTTATATTAAAAGATTTATATATTAAAAACGCTTTAATAATATTTATAATATCGAAATAAATAATATAATATATCTTCAATTTTAATTTAAATTTAAAGTTATAAATTTTAAAAGACTAGCTAATCTAGTTATCGTCGATATTATTATTATATATATTCTATATTTTATATTTTAATAATTTCGCATTATTAAAATTATAGTTATTTTAAAATTATTATAAATAAATATCGCGAAAGAATTTATTAATATTATTATTAAAGAGTTTTAATTTAAAAAACTATAGCGTTAGCGTATAATCTTTTTAAGATTTAAATAAAATTTAAAAATTATTTATATTAGATATTAATTCGACGTTTAACTTAGTTTAATAATTAGATATTAATTTTATTTAATTAAGAGACTTCGATTTAAATTATAGTTTTATCGATCTTCTAGCGTCTCGCTTTTTTAAATATAATTTTATAAAGTTAATTATTAAAGATAAAATTATAGTATTATAATTTAAATCTATTATAGAGATAAGAAGTACTATTATCTTATTATTTAGATTTATTATTTATATCGTATTTATCTTCTTTTCTTTTATTTTCTATTCGTCTAATTACTATTATAATATTAAATTTATAATTATATTATCTTTAAGTAAATATATATCTTCTTCTTTTATAATAATTAGAGCTATTAGATTATTAATATTATTAATTATATCGCGATTTATAATATTAAAAAACGCGTATAAAAGAATTAATTTTCGCTTTCTATAATCTTATAGATATCTAATAAGTTTATTATTATTTTTATATTATTTTTTATAGAAGCGATATACTCGATATATATTCTCTTATCTATTATTAATTAATTATAAAATATATATTTTTTAATAATTAATAATATATTAACGCCTTAGCGAATATATATTATTACTCTAGTCTTACTTATCGCGAAGTTTAATTTTAACTTTATATTCTTTATAATTATATAAAAGATATTTATAAATTTATATATAAAAAATATCTTATATTAATAAATATTTATAAAAAGAAAGAGTTTATAATAAGCTATCTAGAAGAGAAATACTTTTATTACTTTTAAATATTTTTTTATATTTAATATATATATAATTAAAGCGCTTTTATATATATAAAATTATATTTATATATTTATTTTAAAATAGTAAAGTCGTCTATAGAGTATATAATTTAAAAATATATATTTTATATAAAAGAAATTAATTTTATTTTAATTTAAACCGTTTAATTTAGATAATAGTATTTTTAAAAATAATTTTAAATATTATAAAAGAAATATACTAGGTCTATTTATTATTATTTATAATATATAATTATTTTATTATATTTAACTAGCTAATATATCTTTATATTAAAATAAAAGTCTTTTAAATATAAATAACTAAAGCTAAACGAATTATTAAGAGCTATATATATTTAAAGAGAAAATAATCTAATTAATTAATTTTTATAGATATAAAAAAGAAAGAAGATTAATATATTTACTAAAAAAGAAACTCGATTATCTATTAATTAGTCGAAGAGTAAATAAAAATTATATAAATATAGTATTTATTAATTACTATATCTTACTATTATCTCTTATATCGAAGAGTTAAAATAAATATTAATTTTCGAAATATTAATTATCGAAGTAATTATTATTATTTAAATCTTATTAAAAATTATTAATCTCGAAATTACTAATAGAGAATAGATCTTAGAAAATTTATATTATTATTAAATAAATTTATATTTCTAGTAGATATAGTAGCGAAATTTATACTCTTATTATTAATATACGTATTACTAATTTTAACGCTAATCGAAGCTTTTATTAAAGTTTTTACTAATAATTAATTAAAGTTAATTAAAGATATAATATATTAATATTTAATTAAGACTATTAAGATAGCTATTAATAAAGTTAATATTAATTAAAATTTATTTATAATTAATTAAAGTTAATCGAAGATATAATATATATTTCGAGAAATAACGTTAAATATTCGATTTAAATTTTATAATTTTATTTAAATTTCTTTTATCTTATATCTTACTTAATCTAATACGCGTTTTTTTATTATCGTATTATATATATTATTATATTAATATTTATATTTTTTTTAAATAATATACTTATAATAATAGCGTTTATCGAAATCGATTTTTATTTTAAAATCGACGTCGTTAAATTAGATATTTTTATAAATCGAGATAATATTTATAAAGAACTTCGATTTTTAGAGCTTATATTTAAAGCGATAAAAGAGAAATTCTTATATCGATTAAGATATAAAGATTTTTAAAAAAAGTTTATAAGATTATATAAGAGAAAGATTAATATTATTATAAGCGAGATTATTTAATTACTATTTATTTTTAATTATATAATTATATAAGATCTTAACTTTCTTCTTAAATTCTTATATAAATTAATTTTATTAATTAATAAAATATTTATAAAATAAGAGAAGTAATTATTTAAGAGAAAATTAATAGAAATATAAAAAGATAAATATATAAAGATCTAGAAGCTTTTAATAATCGAGAGATTAATAAATTTTTATTAATTTAATAAACTATTAATCGAAAATCTCTCTAATATTAACTCTCTTTAATTTATTATTATTAATAATTTAAATAAGTATAAGCTTATCTCTATTTAGAAGTTAATAAATAATTTAATAATAATTTCTTAATTCTAAAAGTAACTTAGTCTTAAAGCTCTTATTATTTATCTTTAATTAAAATAATTTTAAGATAATATTAATAAAAATTCTATAATATTATTTTATCTAATTTATAGAGTAAATAATATAAGCTTAATTATAAATAATAATAATAATTTATAAGAGATATATAAGTATTAGAAGTAAATATATATATTTAAATAGCGAATATTCTTATAGCGCGTAATTAAAGATTTATTAATCTCGCTTTTTTATATTAATAATAAGTATTAATATTAATTCTAATTTTAATTAAGACGTTAGATATCGAAGCTAGTATCTTTAAAACTTCGCGAAATTTATTAATATATTTATATTTTTAATTTTAATAACTTTTTAAAATATTTAAGTATTTAATTTTTTCTTCTATTAAGTAAAAGTAAATCTTAAAATTCTTAATCTTTTTTAGATTTACTAATATCTCGCCTTAATTTAAATCTATTAAAACTTTACTTTCTTTCTATTCTATTATTATTTTATCTTTAATCTTATTATTTAATTTATTTAATATTTATAAAAAAAATAAAATAGATTTTTAATTTATTAATATTAGTTTAAATAAGAGTAATTCTTAATTATAAATCTATCGCTATTTTTTATAAAAGAAATTTATTAATAATTTAATAAATAATATTATTATATTTAAAACTTATAAGAGTAATAATACGCTTTCGCTATAGAAAAAAAAGCGTTTAATAATAAAAGATACTATATTAATAGAGCTCTTAATTAAATAAAATTACGCTCTTTAATTAATTAACTCTTATAATATTAAAATTAATAAAATTATAAATTAAAAAAAAATATAAAATAATATAAAGATTAACGATAAAGATTTAATATTAGAGTATATATTTAAATATTATTAATTATTTATTCTTTATATTAATTAATATAATAGAAAGATAAAGTTTAATAAAAAAGAAAGATCTTAATAATTTAATATAATTTAATAAATTATAAAATAAGTTTTATAGCTTAATTATAATAATATAAATATTAATAATACTTAAATATTTAAAGATTTAAATTATATCTTAAATTCGCGAGAGATATTAATCTCTATTATTTTAAAGATTTATTAACTCTATAATTTAATATAGTAATATTTTTAAATAAATATTTATAGAGAAGCTATTAATATAAATAAGCTTAATTTTAATAAAATAAATATATCTAATTCTTTTATTTAACTTATTAATATAAATATTTTTTTAGACTCTAATATTATTAATAAATTAAATATTTAAATAATAACTTACTTTATAATTTAATATTCTCGAAAAGTATTAAAATATTATTATTATTAAAGTCTTTAAGAAATCTCTCTTCGCGAGTAAATATTTTATATTAAGATTTATTTAAAAGAATCGATAATTTTAATATTTTTCAATTAAGATATTTAATATTACTTATTTATATAAAGATAAAGCGAATTATATAACTTAAATAATACTTAAAATAAAATTCTTTCTTATTATTATTTTAATAAAAACTTTAATAAACTAGCTTATAAAAATTATTAAATTTATAAATCTCAATAATCGCGATATAGTGACTCACCAGTCTTTGCCTTTCCGTCACATCCATCTATACCGATTACTATCCAAAATATAAGCGCAAGCTACCTAGCATTGGATCCCAGGGGCTTAACATGGGATGCTATCTGGTCCTCCGACAGTGATTATGAGCCTCTGGTTAAACCGCTCATGCCCGACATGGGAGCTTGGAATTGCTCACCATACGGAACGTAGCCTGCTGCAGCCTCCGCTTCGAACACGGCGTTGTATCTCACCGCAACATCTATATCCACCGAGGCCGGTGACGAGGCTGGCATAACACCGGTGGCCAAAGCGAGTCCGCCGAAAGAAGCTCCCGACCCGGCAGCGGGCAAAGCACCAGCAAAAGTTGAGCCCCAAGCGGCGGAAGTGTCTCAGATCATTGCGAATCCTTTCGGAGTTGGAAAACCAGCTGCCGTAGCAAAAAAGCCGACTCCTGCTCCGAGCCCCCTTCTCCGCAAGAGGAGAACTCTAATATTGCTGCCCTTATGCCAGTCCCAGGCCTCAACAACCAAGCCGCCACCGCCGTTCCAGCAGCCGCGGCTAATGCTATAGCGAACGTCGTCATCAGTTCTACGAACGCCCAAGGTAGCATCCTCGTCGCGACATCCCAAGTACCTGGCGTGATCGTCACATCCACGAACGCTCAAGACTCACAAGTTGTCACAACAATACCTGTCGTCTCACCGCAAGCCCTTGATAATACGCCGGAGCCCGCTCCGGTTGTTGTGAATGGGCATACCCTCACCACAGACTCACAGTCACACTACGTAATCGCTGGCCAGATCCTCTCAGCTGACACACCTCTCGTCCTCGGCTCTGGCGCCTCCACTACGCCCGTCATACTGCAAACATCAGGCATCCACCCCGTGCTCGTTATAGGCTCGAGCACCACAACACTGAATCTGCCGACTTCGACTCCTACCACAACCACACCTCTAGCGATTACGATCGGCACGCAAACAATAACAGCCAATGCGCAGGGCCAGTATCTCATAGGCAGTCAAACGCTAACGCCTGGTGGCGAGATCGTCGTGGGTGGTACAACGGCGCCAGGAGGAACGGTTGCGGTAGGTGGGACTACGGTTTCGTTAGCGCCGAGCGCGACGCAAGCTGTGGTTGGGACGAGTACGGAGGGATTGGCGCCTTATATAGTAGGCGGGCTGGGTACGGGACCAAACGGTACGGGGGCGGTACAATTCTTTGGTGTCGCGGGGGCCAAAGTCAAGTGCTGGGGGTCGAGATATCTCGTTGGGATGTTTGCTGGGGTCGCGGGAATATCATGGTTGTTTTGAAGAAGTATGAAAATAGAAAATCGAGAAGTTGGAATAAGCTAATTGAACGAGTGACTGCCCTAGATCTCATGCAATGATTGCGGTGAACAAACACAGAGCCTCATCAACGGCCCTGAACCTAGTATGTCATGCCGGATCTAAAGTTAGTGGGAGTCGAAACCCGCGCGCCTCTAGCCACGTACACGTCTCGCGTTGCACAACTGCATCAAGCATCTGTCCAGCGGGCCAACTGGTTACCTCGGAAGATAACAAAGTCCTTACTCAGCGTAGCAGGAGGCAAGGCTGCAGATTCGCGCTGCGGGTGCGAGGCCAGAGCAGCACATTCGGATACCAAGGGAACCCTTATGGTGAGCGCCATCTGAAACAATGTGGCAACTCTCTCGAACGACAGTCCCAGTGCACGCTGGGGCGCTGCATGAAGCCCAATGAATCCAACTTTACCCCAACCGGCAACACAGTCCCGTAAGCCTCCCGCAGCCCGCAAGGGTAGTGCAGGGGCGCGTTTTGAATGTGACTTGGGGGGCTCCAAAGCCTTTCGATTAATCTGTTTCGTCCACGATGTCGCATCGACCCGTTCTCTGTTTTCTTTCGCCGGATTCTGGTGCGCCAAGATCTCGAACCGTGCCCCACCTGAAGGATTGCCTGGACAGTGCGCCATGGTCTAAGCTCGGTCTAGGGCCCAGTTACGTGATAGGCTCTCAGGTCCAACAGAAGTCTCTAGAGATCAATTTATCGGCTCCCGGGAAATATATATCGGCCACAAGGTCACCTTCCGAAAGTAGGGTTAGGGCTGTTAAGCGCTAGCCAGGACTTGGTGTGCACAGAAAACATGTGGCTGGGCCAATGGAAACGTGTGTCCTGTTGCCATTCCGTTCCGTCAACGAATCTCTATGTCATCTACTTACGGCGGACGACGGCTGACACTACGACAAAACCAAAAAAAAATTCTCTTTTCGTTTTTTTCTTCGCGATTTCTAGTTCTCAACTCTTCGAGAGGTACTTTTTGAGGCACTCTTTAGGGGCTACTCTCTGGGGTACTCTCCGGGGTACTCTTCGCGGTACTCTCCGGGGTACTCTCCGGGGTACTCTCTCGGGTACTCTTTCGGGTACTCTTCCGGGTACTTTTCCGGGTACTCTTCCGGGTACTTACGACGGATAATAACTAACACTACGATCGAATATTTTATGAAGTTCTTCGCAAAAAAAGAAAAAAAGAAAAAAAAATTACGGGACTTTCCACGGAACTTCCCGCGATTTTTTTTTTTTTTTGCGAAGAACTTCATAAAATATTCGATCGTAAATGAGAGTACCCCGGAGAGTACCTCGAAGAGTACCCGGAAGAATACCCCCCAAAGTACCCCGCAGAGTACCCCGGAGAGTATCCAGGAGAGTACCCCGGAGAGTAGCCCCTAAAGAGTGCCTCAAAAAGTACCTCTCGAAGAGTTGAGAATATTCTAAAAAAGAATATTTTGGAGAGAGTTACAGAGGTCTGCACCGAAAGTCCTGCACCCGCACTAGTGCAGCCCTAACCCTACTTTCGGAAAGCGGCCCTGTAGAGGGGAAGCCTAGAAATATCTTCTTATAGCGCATGGATGGGACTTTAGGTACTTCTTTTGGCTTGATAGGGGTATTAAGCCCCGAAACCTGGCTAGGGCTAGGTGCGATTCCGAAGAACTCCAGACGTATTGTCCAGGTAGCCCTTTAGGTGGGGCGTTATCCGAAGTCTGAGCGCAAGAGTCTTGGCGGGTGCAGGCCTCTGTACTAGAAATCGCAAAGAAAAAAACGAAAAGAGAATTTTTTTTGGTTTTGTCGTAGTGTCAGCCGTCGTCCGCCGTATCTACTACCACTTTTGCTCGCACAGCGTCTCCAGAAATTCACTTTGCTGGCTATACGTGTGCTTTTAATACGACTGAAAGGGCTCACTGTTGCTGCGCAGATGTCATCGACTGTATCTTTCCGCATTGACAGACTAGACTGCTCACGCTGCGTTTGACAATAACTGTTCACAAATACATCGCGTCTGAAATCGTAACTACCACATCGCTCAGTTATGAGACGTTTGGCTAACAAAGTTCTTAGCTCTCAAGTGGGTTTTAATTACTGCTATACACGGTATTGGAATGAAACCGTGCCCTTATCCGGCTTTGGCTGGGCTTCGTCGCAGTTAGCTTGGACCGTCGAGACAACTCACGACGAAGAGGAGGCCATAGAAATAAGCTCTACATCTACTGCGGCCGGTTTAAGTATCACGTCCATCACGAGCCTCGAATGCTTTTCTGGGTTCTTCCCACATAGGATCACGGAATACAGGCAGCGCGAATGTGGATCTCTTCTCAGATCTTCCGACTCCGCTTTAAGAAATTCGCCTGGCACAGCTTCTGGTATCTCTACCGGTTCTACGGACTCTATATTGAACCGCCTCTTCAAGCAGTTCGACAACGTCCATAGTATCGTCAAGCAGTTTATCTAATGTTTAGCAAACTAGCCCTAGTGGCGGTGATAGCTGCGATTGTTGTCGGTGGACTTCTTATTGGAATTTTGTCCTGGCTCCTATACCTCTGGCTTATAAGAGAATTGAGGGAGCGACTTAGGCAGGAAAGAGACCGTTTTCGGCAAGATCGCCTCGATCGCCTCAACGGCGTTTCCTCACACATCGGCCTACCCTACAACACCGGCTATGCGCCGCCAGTGAAC